TTCAGGATTTCATTGAATCCATAATTCTCCTCCATGATCTTCCTCTTTTCTGAGTCCAAAATAGCACAGCAGACCAGCAGATGAAAATTCTGGCACGGGAGTCCGGTCCACATGACCTGGATAAACAGGATTCCATCACACACACACACGAAACAGACACATGCACACGCATGAATACACAGACAGACACACACAGACACACACACAGACAGTTATTCTACAGTAACGGATGATAACCGTACATCGTAACTGTAACACAGCAGATGCTTTTGCCAGACAAACCGCTGGATAAAACTGGGAAAGTGCAGAAAAGGAACCGTGGGCCACATACAAATAACACTGAAGCAGACGGAACGTTACGGACAGGGTGAGCCGTCAGAAGCTTCAGGTGCAGAACTGGCGGGCAGAAGCCCCGTTTGGGGGGGGGGACTCACCTCCCAGAGCCGGAGGACGCCCTGGAAGCTGAGCTCGCGCTTGAAGCGAATCAGCAACCAGCGGAAGCAGAAGTACAGGTAACCGGAATCCTGGGATTCTGTGGAGAGAGATCCAGGTCACAAGGGGCTCAGCCGGACCGAGACAGAACCCAAGGCCTTGCAAGGTCTCATCTGTAAGCAGAAAAACTTATTAGAACAAATATAAACAGGATGATACTTCAGGAAAGTATATCTGCTTATTGGGGGTGTGGAGGTGAACAGGAGGTGGTTGGTAATTAATGCTGCAAAGACAGTCAGTACAAACTCTGAACTGGGAAAAAAAACAAAATAAAAACAGCGACACTGTTTTCCTGCATGACTCTCCGAAACCTTCCTGTCGCGGCCTAAATTAAAGCCATAAATAATACAATAACATTTGCATTTTATTGGATTTCCGTTTTTATTGCCCTAATGCGCATTTCCCCATTGTTTGTCTGGGAAGCACGGAAAACTGGAACCACCTTATCAGGAAGCGCTTTATGAAAACGTGGAAGTAATTACCACAGCGCCGCGTGTCGTTTATCACTGTCCCCGAGCAAACATGGCCAGCACGAGCAATCCTAGCCCGGGCCCGCGGACGCTGCCGAACCCGGCAGAGCCACATTAATCTTACGGCGGACGTGGAATTTAAAGTGACAGAGGAGAACACGGGATTAGCCGGCTCGCTGGGAAAGGCGCCACGTAAAGAACGTGATAAACGTGCGGAGGACTGAACACGCTGCCCCCCCAGCACCTTCATCATTCACGCCCCCTTATTAATAACTGTCACGATTTGAGAAATCGCATCTGGCCGGGCCACTAATCGGCTGTCGTATGGCCATCGGAAGCACATTTCCTCAAGCCTTATTACGCTGAAAGAAGCAGCCTGGTTCTCACCTTCCTTCCCTGGTCTTAAGCGCTCCCCGCTCATAAGGCCCCACCCCTCATGAGCCCCATACCCATATGGCACATATGGCACCACTCCTCATAATGCACTGCCCATCATACGGCTGGGGTCTTAAGTGCCCCTTGCCCATAAAGCCCCGCCTCTCGTATGGCCCCACCCCTCATAATGCCCCGCCCCACATAAAGCCCCACCCCCCATAAGGCACTACTCATCATACGGCTGGGGTTTTAAGTGCCCCTTGCCCATAAAGCCCCGCCCCTCATAAGGCCCCGCCCCTCATAATGCACCGCCCCACATAAAGCCCCACCTCCCATAAGGCACTGCCCCCCATAAGGCACTACCCATCATACAGCTGGGGTCTTAAGCGCCCCTTGCCCATAAAGCCCTGCCCCTTGTAAGGCCCCGCCCCTTGTAAGGCCCCTCCCCTTGTAAGGCCCCGCCCCTTGTAAGGCCCCGCCCCTCATAATGCCCCACCCTACATGAAGCACTGCCCCCCATACGGTCCTCCTCCTTACCAAGGTAGTTCCAGAAGGACAGATCTAGCAGCCGCAGTAACGTGCTCAGGTGGATCAGCTGTGCCTTCATGCCCTGCATCTGCTCCTCGAAATTCTGGTGCTGCCCGAGGAACAAATCCAAGCGTGTCAGTCGGGTTGAACACACACACACACACACACACACAGATGACAGACACAATAACTCGCATCCCCGGCGACCCGTAGACTAGAGGGTCGGCTCCAGATCCATGTGGAGATCAAGCAGGCGTCACCCGTGCCATCGTCATACATTTCCATATGACACCTGCATAGTAGCTGTGACCTGCACGTCCCCAAAGATACCATGAGAGATAGCGGACGTCGCTCTGTACATCCAGTCCACCACCATATTACTGGGGTTATCCGTAATGAACTCACTGCTCACCGATGCTCAGAATCACATATTTTTTTTATTGCAACAATAAAACAGTGAGCTTAGGCATCTGGAGCGAAAACTAAGCACTGGACATAAGAACCAGAAAAAAACGGTGTGTTATGAGCTGAATGGAGAGGAGTATCGGCGGTCAGCGGGTTGATAGAGATAAACTGCTACTCGGGAGAACCAATCAAATCACACTTCAGAATTCCCTAATATGGAAATAAGGCCTGTAATCAACAGCCACAGAGCTGAATATGGTGACCAAACACCCCATCACCAATCCAATCTAGCAGCATACATCAGCATTTGATAGCGCTGGGTAGCCTTCCATTTAGATGTCACCTAAAACCTGGTACAAAGCAGCCCTAAGCCACAATATCGGACTAGAAACCTAAATCCATAAGTATGATGCAGAACAACTATGGCTGTGAAATACAAGGTACAGAGAAAAAGATCTTACCATCTGGTCCATGAAGGACACAAAGCACCAAAAAGCGTCCACTTCATTCTCCATTACGTACAGGATGGGCGAAAGCAGATCGCTCATTCCCTGAACGTACCCTAGAGGGAAGCAGAGGAGGAGGGTCACCATGGCGATTCAGGGAACGTTACAGCACTGCGGCTGTGCGCCCATGCCAGTGAGCTGTGCAGTGATGTGTGCATCAGAGCTCTGCCCAAATTCTACACCCCCCTACTGCACAAACACTCACCCAGGTCGAAGTCATACATGCAGTACGTCATCAGGATGTCGTGCAGCAGGATCAGTCCCGGGTTGTCCGGCCCTTCGTAAAATTTGTTGGTTCGGTCCGTTCTGTTCACATCTTTCTCTGGAAAGACAGCAAGGATGATGTATGAAAGTCCAGTGTCCTACTTTAAGGACATATCAAGCCACCAAGTGATAACCCTGCAAAATAACTACCATCCGACTGTGAGCTAAACATTACGCGATCAGTCCATCCACCATCCTCAAGTACAGCTCTGAAGACCTTACGGTTCAGACCTCAGCACATGACAGGGTTCATAGGCAGAAAACCATTACACAGATGGTCCCACAGCCACACTTTATAATGCAATGCAGAAACTGAGGAGCAGACTGTATAACAGACTGGTGCGGATTTAATTTGGTGCCGTTTGGGTTTAAGCAGGTGTCTAAAGTCGCTGACTCTTTCCGACAGGGCCGTACTGAGGCCTCAGCAAAATGCCGGGCCGATTTGCCACCACTTGCCACCGTGACCAGGTCACGGGGTGTATGCCAATCTCATTGTTTTTGCTACCTTATCATGAAGGCAGCTCTCCTAAGATGATGAAGCGGGTCCAGATGCAGGATGCATACAGACTGGCATGAAGCACACTGCAATCCACACTCCGAGAGGTTATGTGGTTGAGCATCAGTGTAGCGGAGAAATGGCCTCACACCCATTAGGGGCAGCGGAACGAGCGAGGAGAGCTCACCAATCAGACTCCTGTAATCCCTCAGCCGCGAGTTCCTCCTCTCCTGCTCCTCACTGACGGACTTCCACTGCAGCTTCATCCTGAAATACTCATCGCTGACAAGAAGGGGGAGAAAAGTGGGAATAGAGTCAGGGAGCAGAGACGGCGCCTCTTGCAGGACAGACCCAGAGCGGCACTCAGTGCCCACTCGGGAATTTGTTATGAAATACGTTGTTTGACTGCGGAATAAGACACGGACTGCTTCAAGGTTGACTTGTATTTCCATGAATATTGACTGAGTATGTAGAGGTCATGAGGTCATATCCAGGGGGCAGAAAAACACCAATGAGAAAAGCAGCGAAGCAGCAAGCCGCCTGCGAATGAAAGATCAGTGATGCCTCAGCCGGACCTGAGGGGGAGGTTAGTCTAGATGGTCACCTGAGCTACACATACAAAATGCATGAAGCCACAATGGATATTTCAGTTATCATCAAGTTCAGGGCACTGTTAGCTGCTTTAGCTCCAATTGTAGAGATCTGACCTAATTTGGATCCAACAGAAGTGGTTTCATACTCACAGCACAGGCCTGATCCAGACCGTCTCTCCGCACAACGCTGCAATACTTACACCCAATCGGATTAACTCTTCTTCCTATTTTCCTATATTAGAGGCTGAACCGACCGGAAGTGTGACACCTTGCCCTGCTTCCTGCTCTCCCTCCCAAAGGCCACTCATGCTTTTACTGGTACAGTGGATTAGGGCTGCTTCTGAACGCTCACCCTCCGAGGAGGAATCTGCATTTTCACAATAATACTCCGGGCCGCCTCTTCTTTACAAACCCCCTCCACCCACCAGAGCCCAGAATCCCACTCACGTCTTCCTCTTGTGCAGGCCCTTCCTCTCCTCGCGCGTGGTGTCCCAGGGGAAGTACCCCAGCAGGAACTTCCAACCCTCCCTCCTGGCAGCATGACACAGGCCCTAAGGAGGATGAGGAGGAGGAAGAGCAGAGATCAGTACCATGAGCGAGAAGCCGTGGACGTGCTGAGCAGCCCTGCATCCTTGCCGGGTCTCTGTGTGGACCCCCTTCCCCCCCCGCTTTCCGCTATCACCTGAGCCCTGGATCTCACCCCACCCACAATCTGGCTCGTCAGACAAGGTCGGCTCCGCCGGGAGGGGAAACATTAGCGGGTCGCTCTGGCGAAGTGACCCAGATCCATCCATTTGGCAGAACACATGTGCACACTTCACCAATGCCGTACAGACTGTGCACGCTGGGGTCCAACAGACCGGCAAAGATATCGCCACTCCTGTAGCCGTGAAGCAGCCCAATGTTCTCATTTGTTTATTTTAGAGTTTGGATTTTCAGTCCAGTACACATTTCACAAAAAGATCTAAAAAAAAAATCCAGATCTGATCAGATCTTTCTCAGTTTAAAAAAGAAGCTCCTGGAATATCAAAGATATTCTTCCTTAAAAAAAGTCAATTTAACAATTTAGAAAGAAGCTTGAGGGAAAAAATGACATACTCCCTTACTACAGTCTGGAACCCCAAAATGACATACTCCCTTACTACAGTCTGGAACCCCAAAATGACATGCTCCCTTACTACAGTCTGGAACCCCAAAATGACATACTCCCTTACTACAGTCTGGAACCCCAAAATGACATTTATTTCAAGAAACATACTCAGCATGACAAGAGCAAATGGGCAAATGGAGGTATTTTACAGGTAGAGGTAAGGTGTGAATCTGCTTGGAACAGAAGAAGCTCTTTAGTGAGGGCCCTGCAGGCCTGACAGGACAGGAAGCATGCGCTGTTACCCCTTTGAAGACGGCCTCCTTCAGCTGGGCCACATTCTGCACTCTCCCCTCGGCGTCTATGTGCTCCGCCCAGGCTTCAGCCGACACCGGCTCCCCCCTCCACACGGCCGGTCTGGGGCCCAGATCGATCTGGAATATGCAGATTGCTCGTTAGCGCCGACTGGGGAGAGCCTTCCGGCCACGGAGCCAGCAGATGCTCCAGGCTCACTCTAGGGGACTCGACCCCACAGAAACCTGGAGAGTGGAGCTGATTCTGCTGGAGCACACGCTCTAGGGGACTGATAAAATGTGCAAATCAATACACAGGTTCAAAGCCCTCCTCCGTGCTGCATCCTGGATGCTCCATCTTGCTCTTCCCGGATCCGCGTACGTGACACCACCTCCGCTCGATCTCCACGTCTCATCCCAAATATGTCCCCAGCTCACGTCTGCACACAGTGCTACTCTTCTCATTTAAAGCGAGGGTTAGAGGCTAAAATAATAAGTGGAAACCAGCAGCATTAATTAAACTCCGCTCTGAGATAAGAGCGTAGCTAATAATTACGCTTGTAACTGAGACCCACAAAAGGCTTGTTTTTCCTTTTTAATTACCAATGCAGATGAACGTGCTCAGCCACCAGCAGGCTCACCACACGACGCACAGCCGTATAAGTATCCATCGGATACCTAGCAGAACATCTACGATGCGTAACAAGAACGTAGCTATTTAGCATGACTACTAACGCTAAACTTCAGCGGTTACACTGTCAGACATCAGTGCCCCTACGAGAACATAGTAGGAAGGTCCTTCAAGCTGGGTCAAGTACACAAGTGGAGCCCTTTGCACTGACGAAAGCAGACTGCCAGTTAGGGCTTCCGCAGAAATGCTGTTCTTCCCACTTGAACTTGGAGCCATGTGAGCGCTAAGAAACACGGCACACGCCCCGGCGCCGCCTCAATCCCCAGCGCCAAGGCCAGGGCCCAGCACACTCTGGGCTCACCGATGCTCCCGTGACATCCCCCCCACCAAAAATGTCACTTGCAGTCTGACTCCAGCTCCCGCGAGCAGAGTCACCTTGGGAAAGAGGTTTTCATTCAGACCGCGAATCCCGGAGGCTGCCCGCGATGGCGCCCGGTCGGCCCTGCCAGTCTGCTTTCTGGCATCCATCATTGGCTGTCACCGCCCTGGCAGTGTTACCCAGCCATCACGCAGGACACTGCTGCGTGGAAGTCCCCTCTGCGGCACACTGGCATTAAAGCTCTCGCCCGCAGCAGCCTCTGAACTCCTCAGTTGCACAGACACGCTTAAAATTCAAGATCCTTGTGAAGTGACCCCCAGTAAGCGAACTGCAAAACTGACACTAGCTGACTAAGTAACAGATGGCCAGGGAGCATCACTCCTTCAGAATGTCACCACCTGATCAGCAAGAACCTAATATCCTTATTATTAAAGACTCGCCGCTCTGGGCCATGCCTCTGCCGGCACAATGTAAGCTGTACTTAAATCCACCCAACAGAGCTTGAACTAATTAACCGATGCACTATATAATTTAAAGGCTGTTAATTAGCTTTATAATTAAATGCTACTTTTTTCCCATGGATGCACCTTTGAGATGGTCCCTTAAGTGAGTGAAATGTGGCACCTGCACATTTAAAGGTGGAGCACTTGAGAGATTTACTAAGCTTTTACACTCCCACATTGAGATGTACTCTGTTACGCTCACGCTGTGATGCGCTCCATTTATGACGTGCCGCACTGAACCTCCGTACTGCCACCTAGTGTGCATGAGCAGACTCACTCTGGTGATGACCTCGAAGCCCGGCTCCTCTTGCTGATTGACCTCCAGCCCAGGGATGGCCTCGCTGATGAGATCGGCCACCTCCTCGGCCGGCCGCTGCCGGTGCGCCATTTCCGGCCCACGGAAGGCATCGAAGATGTAGTTGGTCACCTTGGAGAAGCCCCCCAGCGTCGTCGTGTAAGGGTCGTTCTTAAATTTCTGGGCAACAGGATGGGCATGAATTAAAATGGCTGAAAGATTTTTTTTCTGTACAGACATGCAGGTAGATCAAAGTGAAACCCACCCTGTATGCGCTCTATACAGGCTGCTGTTTGACTTTCCTTTGAAAGTGGTTATATGTACATTCATTTCCTGTCAATTTTAGCTATTTATTATCAATGATCAATGAGGGGGAAAAATGCAATTTCGCTTGTTTTTAATCTGATTTGGCTGAAACACTTTCCCATTAATGCATGAAAATATGAAGAGATATTTTAAGCAGCGGACACTAGAAGCTGCAGCAGATCGGCCTCCAAGAGCGATGCTCACCTGTACAAGTCCAAATGTAGCGTCGTCCAGAAGGTTCTCGAAGGACTGAGACAGCGCTTTGCTCTGGCTGCTGACCACCAGGAAGGACTGATCGCCGGGAGATCTGGGGCCAGATGGAGAAGGAACAGTTAGAACGGCTCACCCTGCGAAAGGTCACACGTACTGGGATTTCCATGGTAACTCAGTATTAAACACTGAAACAACAAACAACTGAACTGCTCCACGTCACACGTCTTCTCGCTCTACACAGGTCCATCTGTTCTGTAGCCCTGCTGGCTTCCAGGATTCTTTACAACGAAAAGCAAAACACTGTATGTCCCTCCGAAACTGCATCACCAGTCAGACCCAGCTGAGCAGCTGCAGTCAACGCTAAAGAACAGACACCATTTCCATTAATTTACGTGCTTGTCAGATGTCAGTAATGAGAAAATCGAGTGATCAAAATAAATCGGGATTTTTTTGCCCACATTAAGAGCCAGGAGATGAAAGCGCAGGGAAGAGTTTTTGGATTCAGAGCGACAACCCGATCAACACGGCCTTTGGGATTTCGGAGAAGTTAGTCGGGTAGATGAGCTCAGACAGGACATGAGCGGCCTGCATGTTCACATTCCTGCAGTGCCGGGCACTTCCCGAAAGACACACTGCCCCTCGTGTAACCACAGCGTTTTAATTACAAAAGAGATCTGCAAAAGCCCAGCCCCCGGCAGGAAATAATCAACAAGTGTGCAATAATTATGTCTCACTACACGCCAGCATGTAAGACTCTGCACTAACACTGTGTTGCTGCTACCTTGGCCAGGTCTCCCTTGAAAAAGAGATCTGTGATCTCAATGGGACAAACCTGGTTAAATAAAGTTTAAATAAAATAAAAAATAAGCATGGGCCCAGGCCTCGGAGTGACCCTTAAACAGGGCAGCACACACTGAGCACCCATGTGCTACGGCAAGCAGCTGGGCTCAAAAACAAATATCACAGCGTAAAATAAAAATAATGCCGATTAACACGTCTGACACCTGAGTGGCATCACATGACTCCCCCTCAGCCCAAGGGACATGTGGGGAGGGGGATCAGCACAGATGTATCCGGATCAGTGGTTTCACTCTGTCTCCCAGGGCGCAGTGAGCACAGATCAGTGCCCAATCACACACTGCAGGTGACATCGTAAATGGCCACATAAAATACACCCATAATGATTTCATCCAGAATACTGAAAACAATGCAAAGACCAAGTTGGCAGTTGGAATGTTTAAATAAATATGCCGAAAGAACAATTGCTCATCATGATTTAAAGAGCATGATCAAGTAATATGAGGTTATAAAAGGTAGAGGCGCCCTCTACTGGAGGGAAAAAAACAGCACAACAGCATGCTTAAGAAATTGTGCAACGAAGCACCGATCCTGATCTTTTTCATACCTACATCACCTATCCATCCATCCATCTTCCAAGAACCTACACAGAACAGGGCCAGAGGGCCCTGCGGCCCATCCCAGGACATACAAGGCACTAAGCAGAACCACCAAAATGGGACACCAGTCCATTGCAGGGCACTTAAATGAAGTCTGTAAGATTCTACTAGAGAAATCTGACCCTGTTTTTAAGAAGCCACGGTTGGAAACTGCCCTCAAGTGGCCATACGACAGGGTGACATGATCTCACACGCCAACTCCGGAGGGTGGTTTCCGGGTCACGCGTGGAAACAGCAGAACAGGGAGGCGTTAAAGGGCCCGAAACTCTTTCTTAAAACCACCCCCCCCCCATTCATTAGTGTTCGTCCGGAAACCTCGGGATGGGAAGCGGCTTCGGACACATACTGGGTGAGCAGCAGGAATCCACGGAGGGAGTCGAGGAAGGAATCACTGCCACCCTGGTGGAAGTGGAGGTCAGGCAGGGTGACGTGCTCCTTAAGGCAGAAGGTCAGGCGGCACCAGCCCTCCGTCTTCACCTTGATGGTCTTGAGGTCACTCACGTTGAAGAGGAAGGCCCCGCTGGTCCGCTCCGGTGCTGGGCCGGAGAGTGCTGGCAGGGGACAGAGAGAGCCCACCCATTCAGAAGCCTGATAAAGAATGGTAAATGGACTGCATTTATATAGCACTTTTCTACTCCTATGAGTACTCAAAGCGCTTTACAATGTATGCTGCCATGCAAGGCGCCAACCTGCACACCGGGAGCAATTTGGGGTTCAGTGTCTTGCTCAAGGACACTTTGATGGGGTCAGGAGGACCCGGGGCTCGAACCTGCAACTTTCCAGTTGCCGAACGATAGCACTACCTCCTGCGCCACCATCTTCCCCTTACTGCATCTACGTTCTGGGGAGCTGGACCCATAAATATCCTTTAAAATTAGCACCCCCTGCAGGCGACTGCAAACAATTTCCTCCCTGGATCCTTATCACTGCAGCATCTGATCTCGCTGGAGGCCTGTGTCCTGCTATCTCTGGGAGTGGAACTACACGATGGGCCGACATCCAAACAAGCTGGGAAACAGGGACGGCAGTTCCGCAGCGGCCAGGAACTCATTTGGCATCCGATAAAGTAGTGAACACCGAGAGGTTTCAGACTGATCCATCGACTGATGAGCTCAGACACGACGCGCACGACCCTGGAGCGCCAGCGCTGAGCACCCTCACCGGGGACAGAGGTGTGGCGGCACATTTTGGAGGATTTCCTAACGCGAAGTGACACACTGGGCCCGTAAAATGTCATTTCTAATGTATGTACAAAAAAGCAGGAGCCTCTTTAATTCATCCAGCCTGACATTTAAACATTCGCAGCCAGTGCGTGGCACGGAGGCTGATTAATACGCGCCGTCCGTCTGAGATTGATTGCAGCCTGTTTTTAGAGGACAAACCGAAGCAATTAGTCTTTTTGCGCATCAATTAGCCATGTGTCAGTGCTATAATATCTGCCACGACTCAAAGAGAGGACACGTTCGTGTTGATATTCGAGGCGAATAGATGTGTGAAAGCATGGTTTACATTAGCCTTGGGAAGGAAATACCTGAATTTACCTGAAATACAAAATTCAGCACCAAAAGACTGAAAATTCAAGTGTTTTGTGGTCATTACAAGACTCAGAGCTGTTCTCTCACCTGACACTGATCCCCACTTACTTTTAGTGGTTTAGCTGATACGTTAATCCAAAGACACTTGCAAACTTAGTCAAACTGGACTCAGACTCTTAAATCAATCCCTCGCCAACAAACTCTGAGACGCAAGGCATCTTATTTATCTATCATTTAAGCACCTTGTTTATCTTTTTAAATATTTAATTGTAAAATAAAACCTGAATAATCTTGCTTGTTGTTTTTTAATATTGATCAAAGGAACCGTGCAAGAATTCCAAAGTACTTGTGCTTCTCTACCTGCCATGTTCCAATGCGATTCTCAGCCACACAGCTGCGCGTTTGTCTTGGCTTTCCCTTGGAGCTTAAGGGTACCAGCCCATGCCCTTAATCGCTGTACTCCCTGCTCCCCGTGATTCTGAAATCACCACAGTAGCTAACATGCAATGCGGTAAAGTGCTTTGTAGCTGGTTTTGCCCACACCTGTGACACACCTGAGTTCCGTACTCTTACACCAAATGACCCGCACCTGGCTGTAGGTCGCTCTGTAGGACCATGACACAAATGCCTCAAAAACATTTTATTTCCAGGATTTTCAGATTGTTAAGGGTGGCGAAAACGTGATCCACAGAGAGGCTGATCTCTAAACCCAGAAACCTCTAAAACATCCTGGAAGGCGGTCACCAGGACCAGCAGCCAATCAATCGCGACAGTCCTTCTCTGCGAACCCCAATGGTCAGAATCATCCTTTCCCAAAGTCTGGTTTCTTCAGAAGACTTCCCATGTTTCATAAGTTTGGAGAACAGCCCGGCACACACTGGTCCCTGGGGTCTCAGCAGCGGCGACACTCACCTTCCCCGTTGGTAGAGGGCTTCTTCTTGAAGGAGACTGTGTTCACCATGTCCCATTCAGTCTCATAGCTCTGCTGCTGCTCCACAGATCGGTGGCGTCCGTCTCCGGGACACTGTGCCCACTGCACCACCGAGCTGGAATCCTGCAGGTCGAAGCCATCAGTGTTCTCAGCAAAGTGCTCGGAGGTGAACCGCAGCCCATAAATGCAAGCCTGCCTCGGAAATTGTGTGCATGGTCAAATCAGCGGAAGACAAATCGTTTCAATTTTTACTGGCCGTAAAGCCCTTTTTTTAATTCCTCCAGTAAATATCAGCTCACGGGGAAGCGGCAACATTAAGCAAAACCTAGAAACACCTGATGGCACCCAGAAGATCTGTAGACTCAACTCAAGGAAAGTTCAGCTCCCAAAAGCAAACACAGAAATCACACTCCGTAACTCATAGCGAACGGGGAGCAGTACACATTCTCTCCTATGGTAAACATTAAAGGAAGTTTGTAAATCAAACCTTGCCAGCACACAGCATGTTAGACGAGTCCTCCAAAGGTTTATATTCAACCAGTATTTCACCATCCTGCAGTGAGAGAAAATCCGTTAATATCTTTGCAGAAAGACCACATTTTTAGTGCACACCTTTGTCTGACGCAATAGCAAAAATGGCCTAAATACAAGCAAACTTTAAAAACAAATAGGCCACATCCTCTCTCACTAAATATCGTAAATGTAGAAACAGCTACAGCTGTGTCATTCCTACACAGTATCATTCGTTCCATTAAGTATGCATCTTCGCACAAATACTGCTTGTGTACATATAATAAAACATCTTTAATAGTGAATGTTTGTAAAACAGGTAAAACGTGCTTGACATGAGACTAAGCAGCAGTTGTATTTGGCACACAGGATGGCTGCCCTGTCTGTCCTGTGACTGGTATTTCTGAGAGGATTCAAGGTCTACCTTATCCAAGATGCGGAGAAACCCAGATGTAAGGGAATCCTGAAACTCAGAGCTGTCGGTGCTCGGATGTATAAATATCCCATCCTGCTCAAATATGACCTGAGTGACAGGAAAAGTCATAAAATACCAGCAATAACAAAACGGCGTAAGTCATCATTTGTGTGTAAAATGTGGTGAGAAGTGACACAGAAAAGAAGTATTGTGAACTGTGCATTATGAAAGTTTAAGCCAAATGTTTCCTTTATGCTTCATATATTCAGACATTATTACAATTTGGCTGCCACCGCGTTCACTGAAGAGCGTCCATCGTCTCTTCGCGATTTCTAAACGGCAGGTAGCTGGTATCTGTAAATCGTTAAAATAGCCCGAATGATGCGTGGACTTTCATAGGGGATATAAAGCTGCAATTCTCAGCAGACCGGGTCTCATGGGGTCTCACAGATGCTGCGCAGGCTTTCGAAATGAATCCCACGGCCTGAATATAGCAGTGAAATTGCGACATACACGCGGTCACTTCTGAGGACACTCGTGCACTAAAGTTACGAGGACTAGTCAGCTAGTCAGGCGACATTCCCCACACTAACCGGGAGGGACAGCGAGCCAGACCGGCACCGTCACGGCCAGTGCCTCGCTAGCGCACGCCGCCACTCGTCGCTGTTCTGCTCTTAAACACATAATAAGGTCTGCGGTTGGCAGCTAGTTTCACCACCAGCAGATTAACGTTAACGTGGTTAGCTGACTGGGTGAGTGTTACAGGTCATGTCTGAAAAAAGCTGAAATATCGCACAGACACACAGACGGGCGTTAAAAACGCCTAAAACTGTAGCATTCCCTGAGTGAAATAACGCCGCTACGAGCGCGTATCATATGCAGAAACATCCCGTTTCGGAAATTAGGCGTAATGCGGTTTTACTATCCCTTAAATTTCACTTTTCGTGTGTTTTTTCCAGCTGTACCTTGACGGCCGCCGCCATATCGCCTGCTGCTGTTTACGATGACGTAGCAGCGATCACGCGCCACAACAGTGACGAGTCAGCTTCCGCGTGGCAGTCTGTGCGCATGAGCAGATGATCGGCTCTTAGCCCCGCCCAGGGGCTCGTGTCCGAGTAAATACAGACGTTATCAATGAATAACGCTGGTCTGTTTCGTGTACATTAGCTTGGACTCGTGCACGTGGCAAATAAAAGAATGCACTTTTGCAAACTTTCTTTGATCCGATCTGTCTATACGATCGTTTGTAAAATCGTTATTATTATTTTAAACATGAATATCCCAAGCAGTAATTTGTTTTATATTCTAGCTGCTCACTAGCCAGTGTGTCATATTATAATAACCTGCGATGGTCCTGCGTCCTCTCCAGCCCCCACTAATTCCTGCTCTTTTTCTTTTCTAGTGCAGTTATAAAAGATTAAATATTACATTAATTGTCTCCAAAGTTTAAACCTGGGGGCCCATGACACCTGATACAAGATATCGATCATGTAGATGTGCATTTGTATTTAGTGACCCGACGGTGTGTCTTGATGGGTTTTCTCATTGTGTAATAAAGTTTTACGGGCCTAGATAAAGACTAATTCATGCACAGACACGTTCTAATTCCAGAAGACAGTGACGTCATTTCTGAAAGGTCAAATCAGTTGAAATGAGACAGTGAAGTATAATTCAGGTTCCCTTCCATGGATGAGTTTTTCCTGTTGTACTAAAATATCATTACAGGTTACTTATTCCCCTGTCAAATATGCCCTTTTCACCAAAATCGCTTCTTGTCCCTCCAGAGCGATAAGTATTAGGTGGTGTGTCAAGTCGGTTACCTGTAGGTTAAAGGGGCAGAAAGCTGACCTTACTGTCGGCAGTGATGTACAGCGGCTCCCGGCGATCACCTTCAGAGTTACTAACCAATCATTTAGAAATGGCACTTTGACAAACGTATAAAGCATCAACATAATAGTTTACACGAAGAGAACATTTCAGCTCAGTGGGATATTATCAACAGGTTAACAGATTTTACGAGCCGATTTACAGTCCTGAAAGACACCAGCAACCAGCTTTTATGCAGAGTAACTAGCTGTCATCTAGAATCTGTATCTCACTCAGTGTCGATCTGAGAAAGCTGATGTGCAGACAGCGACTGAAATATGCCAGCTAACCTCATCATCCCCATCAAAATCACTCAGCACGTGCTACAGCGACTGTCATAGGAGAGATTATGAACCAGGAAGCAGAAGAACAGCAGCCATGTTGCAGATGTGTAACACAATGCTTTCTGCGGACATTCCTATGCCCCGAAGTATATGCTTGGTATGCAGGTGTGTCAGGGTGGATTATTCTATTGTTTAAGCAAATTCCTTTATCCGCAGCCACCTGTAATACCTTAAGCATTGTCTTTCTCAAATCCTGTTAGCATCCTTTAATGTATTTAGATTAAATATGCCATTTGTGTAAGTATGAGTACAAGTACATTGGTACGTTTTCATGTTCACATACTCCATCACGCACTCCTTTATGACACACAAACACCCACATATATAAAGGTGAGAGCAAAGCTTAGGGTGGAAGCTCAGGATCAGGCCTTTGTCCCGAACCTTGGAGAATTTTTTGGGGAGATTAAGGGCTCCAGACCCAAACTCTGAGGCTGGGCACACCAACTGGAAGATGCAAACACTGCGTGAAGAGGAATGTCACGTGTGGACACATCCTTACTTTAAGTGCCAGGTTATTCCAATCTGCATCATGGAATAAAGGGGGCTTTGTTTTGGTCTAAATGTGAGAAATAAATGTGTTATTTTAGTTTGGGTCATCTCTGTTACTGAGAGACACACACTTGTGTTTATGAAAGTAGGCATTTTAAATGGGTAAAAATGGAAATGTTTTTAGTGCGATTTGCTGATTAGTTTCTATTGAAGCCATTTGCTGGGACAAAAGCCTGCATTCATATGAGCAGAGATAGGAAGATTGAGGAGTATGAGTGAAGAGAATGAATCATTCCATTTTTATTAGGTTTGTGAAATAAATTTATGGGGTACATCTTGCTAGTACCAGGACCCCCTTTTGCCTCCAGAAATGAGATCTTCTTGGCTTAGATTAAACAAGGTGCTTGACTCTGGTCCATGTTGACATGACATCATGCAGTTGCTGAAATTTGTCAGCTGCACATTCATGATGCAAATCTCCTGTTATACTTCATCCATAGCTGCTCAATTGGATTGAGATCTGGTGACTGTGGAGGCCAGTTGAGTACAGTGAACTCACTGTCATGTTCATGAAACAGTCAAGATGATACGACTTTTGTAACATGGGGCGTTATCCTGCTGGAAGTAGCCATAAGAAGCCAAGTACACTGTGGCCATTAAGGGATGGACATGGTCAGCAACAATACTCAGGCCGGTTGTGGCATTTAAACAATACTCAGGCAGGCTGTGGCATTTAAACAATACTCAGTTGGTACTAAAGGGCCAAAAGTCCCCCACACATTTACACCAGCAGCAGCAGCCTGAATCGTTGATTTAAGACAGGATGGATCCATGCTTTCATGTAGTTTATGCCAAATTCAGACCCTATCATCTGTGTCGCAGCAGAATCCGAGATTCATCTGACTGGGTAACGTTTTTCCGGTCTTCCCTTATTGTATGTTCACGGTCGTTCGACCTCTCTGAAACATCTGAATGTCTTGGGTTATATTAAGTGTTTCAAATTGCTTGTTTGGCCTCCTGCCCAGGGTGTCCCTGCCCTGTATATCTGTGTCCTACGCTGCTTGGCAGGATAAGAGGCGTCTTTAGGCTATAAGGCTGCCAAATGTATGCAAATGACATAGGAAGGAATATATAAGGAAATATACACAAACCCAAATAAACTATACAATATGTATGTAGCCAACGACATCTGACATCGCTTCATTGTAGATCATTATAATCGGTCTATTACAAAACACTCCCAATGCTAGCAGTTAAAAAATTACAATTCCAAAAAAATTACATTTCCAGTGGCAGCTGTGATGCATTCAAATGTTATTGGCCCACCCTGACAAAAGGTGGAAAAGGCAGATAAAATCATTACACGTGGCACAGAGCTCTTCCAGTGCGTATACCAACTAAGAAGACAGGAAGTACACGTATAAGGGTAAAAAAGCACTGAGCGCGACAGGCTAAATAAGACTGGAAACATAGAAATCATCTGCCTGATTAAAAGTGGAACACCACCTACTGTAGACCTTTCAGAAGGCACCACAAAAATATAAAAACTGTTTCATAAATTTCTATATAACATATACATGTTATTAAATTATACAGATCAGTTTTTCAAAACAAAGCAAAATGAACTGCTTTGCAGAATTCAGTTCTACATGAAGATGCTGTGTGTTGGTGAGTAAACACTTCCTGTGTGCAAATGTGTTTGAGCGGAGTGCGTCTCCGCAAGGCCTTCTGTAATTTTTTGGTTTAATTAGAGGAGACACCAAGGGATGAGGGTAGGGAATCAGATCCCCCCCTAGGTTCATCATTTTGCTCTCAGCAGCGTTACAATATGCAAAATACAGGCAGCTCTCCACTTAAGTGGATCCAGACTTGTACAAAAAAAAATATGGACGACAGAGTACATAGATGTGACGGAAGCACAAACACAAAATGGCGACATACATCCATAAGTAAATTTACACTTTATCTATTCATTTATTTGTATTGTTTAGTATCTATTACTAGTAATTTTGACTTGAGTTGTTTGCTTTCCTGAATGACATAGTAAGGTAAATCTGAATTACAGAAAATTTGACATACGTCAGGCTTTGTAGAACGGATTATTTACATCACCGGAGAACTGTCTGTACTGGAACACTATTAGGCATGTTAACCAGGCGTGGCCTGTGTGTTAAATGTTTGGCAGTCGATAGGACAATTCTCAGAGACAGCTGTGCTGTGGGTTTGCCGGTGGCCACGGGTGCGAAGGCTAGCCGGAGGGACAGCATGCCCGCCCTAAGGCCACGCCCCCTAGAGGCTCGTCGTCCACGATCCGGACTCCTCTCCGGGGGGCAACTCCGGTGTGGCCGTCGCCCGTCTGCTGGTCTTCCATCTCCGCTGCCTCGGTCATCCCTAACAGCCCATAGAGGAGTCTCACGTGTGAAAACCACCAAGCGGAAATGACTGAAGCTACGGTCGTATCCCAAGGACGACTACATTTAACGAGTCACGCACGACATGGACGCAAAACCATTACGCGAAGTAACAGAGCGACAAATAAGCAGGGAAGGGAAGGGATTTTGCCTTCACAAACTCACCTCAGACACCCACAATGAGATTTAGTGCACCATGAGTTTGTAGCTCAGCAAGAGGACCAAAGTATTAACTAACAATGATTAGCAAAAGGTTGTGGGTTCAAATCCCAGGAAACACACATTTATTGTAACCCAGTGGTTCTCAATCTTGTTGCTGGCACCAACCCGTGAGAATGTTTTCATTCCAACTCAACCATAATCAGGCTCATATGGTCCTTAATAGGCTAATAATGAATGTGGCAGAATGAAAGCGGTGTGGGCTGGAATGAAAACATTCTGGTGGGGGGGCACCAGAAAGAGGACTGAGAACTACTGCTGTAATCCTCCCCTTCACTTTAAGTCTCTTTGAATACAAACGTCAGATACATTAGTAAATGTTTGCAAAGATTCCAACCACGGTGACAAGCTTAACGTGTCAGGCCATGAGCTGGGCTGACTTACGCTTGCAGAGGTCCAGAAAGAGCTCCTCAATCCCTCGGTTTAGTTTGGCGGATGTGTGGTGGTGTTTGGCTCCCACTGACTCTGCGTACCTGAAACAGGTGTGCAAAGGCAGGCCCGTTTACTGACTAGGATGAGCGACTGCAGTCTTCACCGGCCAAGGGATCCCGGACACAGCGAGATGTAAAGGTGCCATACGGAAGACAGGGGCAGCAGTGTCCTGTCATCAGGCTGGTGTTACAGGGAGCGAGACTCACACGCACAGCATTAGCAACCTGAAACAGAGTCACTACAAGGCCCCAGGAGACACTCTGCAATTCCATAATGATCCTACATAATCATAAAGGCTGGTCCATGACACATACCCCTCTGCATCCTGGACGGATATGTGTCTCTCTCTTTCAAGATCGATTTTATTCCCTGTGCAAATGAAATGACACAGATTAGTAAGAGGAATGACTTTTCATTTAGGTCTTTCACTAATCAAATACAGTAACTCAAATTGATGTATCAAATGCTGATTATGACCAGCAATTTAGAGCAGGAACAAACAAGATTAACCCAGACATGGGTTAATCTTAAACCATTAAACCTAAATGTTTTCTGATACGTAATGCATGCTACCATATTTTATGGACACAACTGGTTGGGAGTGGTGGTTGGGAATATCATACTGGCAACCAGCGGTCATTGTACAGTCATCTGTAGTCACTGTGCCAACATGATCAAGGAAAGCCTGGCCTGCTTGCTTCATTGTGTCAGTGTAACATCTAGTTAAGCAGAAGGAGAAACCTACCTACTATACATAAACATATTTCATTCCCCAGCGTTTTCCGTAACTCCTTGACCCAGTTTTTCACCTGTAGTCGGAAAGCAAGGAGTGCTTGTTGAATCATAGCAAAATCTGTATTTAACACAGGTAAATTACACCTTTTTGTGTCTGATTTATTGGAATCATTAAACACAGAATACCAGTGGGGTTCACCTTCTGGAAGGAATCCTCGTCTGTGATGTCATACACCAATACAGCTCCATTAGAGTCTCGGTAGTATATGGGTCCCAATGCGTGAAATCTTTCCTGTCCTGCTGTGTCCTACATTAAAGCAGGGAGGAGGTAATGAGCAGGCTATTCTGTACACAGCAAACATAGCAGCGGCAGCTAGGTACTTCTCACTGGTGCAGAATGCAGGCAAAGAGCTAATATGTGTGGCATGATGCAGGTGACAACCAGGCAGAGTGCAGAGTATAGTGCAGGCAACCACGAGGTACACTCGAGAGTATAGTGCAGGGGACCACAAGGTACACTTGAGAGTATAGTGCAGGTGACCACGAGGTACACTCGAGAGTATAGTGCAGGGGACCACGAGGTACACTCGAGAGTATAGTGCAGGCGACCACGAGGTACATTCGAGAGTATAGTACAGGGGACCACGAGGTACACTCGAGAGTATAGTGCAGGGGACCACAAGGTACACTTGAGAGTATAGTGCAGGTGACCACGAGGTACACTCGAGAGTATAGCGCAGGCGACCACGAGGTACACTCGAGAGTATAGTGCAGGGGACCACGAGGTACACTCGAGAGTATAGTACAGGGGACCACGAGGTACACTCGAGAGTATAGTGCAGGGGACCACGAGGTACACTCGAGAGTATAGTACAGGGGACCACGAGGTACATTGCAGATTATAGTGCAGGTGACCATAAGGAACTTACAACAGTATAGTGCAGGTCACTGCGAGGCACAGTGCGGAGTGAGCATAGTGCAGGTGACTGCGATGTATGGTGCAGAGTATAGTGCAGGTGTCTATGAGGTACAGTGCACCAGGTGATGATTTACCACAGTAGAGACAGATAAAAACAAACTGGTTCAGGCAGGCTATGCTGAGCTTGGCTAAGGATCCCCCTCTTTCTCACTCTACGTGCTGTTTCCTTCTGTCAAGTTTCCAAATATCACTTCAGGACATATTAGTTATTTTTTAATTACTTACAATACTAACATGTCTATTCATGCTCATTCATTGCGCGTGGAGGAGGGGGCTGTTTTGTGGACTGGCTGCCCCATGTGAGCTGGTCATATGACCCTCCAAATCACTGGCAGTTAAAACTGTCGCCGTACAGCTAGCCTAAGGCACGCGCACTGAGAAGCAGGTCAGCAGGCCGCAGTTTGCGTACCCATATCGTGAGATTCACTCTTCTGCCTCCGATGTTCAGTTTCTTCGTCAGGAAGAAAGCCTGAAAGAGACGGAAAGGCGGAATGAGAAAGGCTTGGCCACCGTGGTGTGGAGAGAGGATGCTGCCGTCCGACCAGCCATGACCTTAACAGGGACCGCTAAGGCCTGAGCTCCCCGATGCAGTGCTGGGCCGCAGAACCTCCCTGAGCTCCCCGATGCAGCGCTGGGCCGCAGAACCTCCCTGTGCTCCCCGATGCAGCGCTGGGCCGCAGAACCTCCCTGTGCTCCCCGGTTATGAGGCTCTTATGATCCCCCCTAGCTGGTCTCCAGCCACACATCTCTCCAAACTGCATCCACGTAACACCCAGGCAAGGCCTAAGATGCAGCAGAGACCATCCTACACATGGTCCTCCAGAAACACCATCTCAAATTCATCTTTGAAGCAAATAAGTCTTATGCCAGATATGAATATGATTCACTTCATATGGCAGAATTGCTTCATAATGATTTTGCACAGCAAAAAAGAAAGGATATGTGTGTGTGTTTTATGTTATATATATAATACCTCATCAGATATATTACTTAGCAGTGGGAGAGGAGCTGAACTGAAGGGCTGAGCTAAACTGCCAAAGCTCAGAAGGCACTTCCTTGTTCCGCTGCCAGGACTCAGCTGAAGATGACAGACGGCAGAGGGATTAAGAGCAGGACCTCTGGGGAATCGTCAGTTGTGCACAAGATAAGCTGGCTGGTGTGCTTGTGTTTCATCTTGTTTTGCACGATCAGCGAAAACCACAAGTTCAGAACTTTCCTCACGCAGCACAGAGCGGAATGCATGACCGGAGACGGCACGTTTTCACTTTCACCTACGGGAAAGAAGCACAGCTGATTTTTTCCCCCTGACAGTGCCGTTTGTTGTTGTAAAGACGGCAGTGACATATTGAAATTTCCTTTTAAAACGGCACTTTTAAACAAAAGGCACTGCCCTAGTCTCCCATCCCCCCCCCACACACATACACACACGCACAATGGCAGGCAGACACAAAAGGGGAATTTTCTTTGTAATTTTTATGAATTGTCAACAGAGAACACTGGAATACATGTGACCAGTACCTTGCGACAGAGATTACAGTGACACTGGGTAGGCCAGTGAAGCCAGTACAGTGGCATCTTGGGACCCACGTGTTCTGCACTACTTCCAGCTGGGAACAATAGGATTACTGTCTGTCTCCTCTGTGTTTGTTTTCAGGAAACCTACAGAAAAAATTACAAGCTTATATCCACAGAAGCCAAACTTTTAAGAAGTATAGAATATAGACTTTATAAAGTTCCCGAAAATAACCCTTGTATTCTCCCCACAAATAACAAAGCAGTAACCAATGTAATAATAAGACCCAGTATGTAGAAGTCAGGGTAATTTGAGCTGAGTATCACAGTATTATGGGAAGGAAAGTCAGACCCTCCTGCCATTATTGTCCAGCTGAGAAGAAACGTAGCAGAGTCTGAAAATTACACATCATCAGCAAAACCAAAATGAGGTCCCCTTCCTTCCTTAGGGCAGGTCTGATAACAGCTTGTGACAGCTTCTCAGCAACACAGGAACTCCTCAGCACAGACCGGCTTCCCCACGGCCCCCAGGTCGCTGTCTGGGGGTGTAGTATCACTAATGCACAATTTCTTGCTTAGCTGGATAATTTGTCAGATTTAAGGTAGGCTACCCCAGTTTAAATAGACTATCTTCGTTCACTTCCATTTGGGCCAGATTACCTTAAATCTGATAAGAAATCCAGCTTGGTGATACAGACCTCTGGAGTCCATCGCTGAAGCCCAATTTAGGGGATAACAGTCACTAAACAAACACCGGTACTGTTAACCCCAGATAAACCAAAACACTCTTCTGAAATCCACCTTCCCACTCATCCAGTTCTAGAAAGAACAAGTGTAGCCACTATACAGAAGTCAGCCATTTGTTAAGAGCACGTGAAATTTAGGAAATTTATGAAGTTCAACCAATTCAGGAAAAATGAGCAGGTGCAGCCACTAAAACATGGCCGTGTTGTACTTTCAGTGTGACACACCTGTAAGTGTGAGAAGGTGATGACATCAGAGAAGTGTCATGTGACCAGAGCAGCAAATAACTCGCCATCAGTAGCTGACGGCAGATGCCATCACATCGGCGTTGTTCTGTAGCTACTGAGTAAGAAACTTTTATGAAATTAAGCTTACATTGTATCCAGATATACCAATGCTGTGAGCAAAACTATTAGAACACAATTACAGTTTCTGTCTGATAGTTAACTGGGATAGTTAGAGGGGTATGTGGTTAAAAGACCCAGTCTTGTTGATGTGAGTCATGTTACTTTGTGCCAAAACACTTTAAAACACAGAAAAATCTGACAACTTAACTCGGTCAAACAACTTTGTGAAAATTAATTATCACAAATGTAATGTTCTCCCGGCCTTCCAGCAGAGCAAACCAGCCTGGAAGCATTTCACACAGAGATAGAGACCCAGGCTTTCTCCCCTCCAGAACCACAACCTCAAACTTTCTGACTTTCTGTAGACACCAATAACAGCACCAGCCACTGCCTTCCGGCTCAAAATAATGTGTCCTTACTATTAAACGGATGCAGAGGAGGGAGAGAGTCTGAGAGAGGGGAAAAAGCAAGGACAGACAAATCCCACTTAAGGACTTCGGAATACGCATTCCAGTGTTAAATCTATTTTATAATCATATCTTTGGCAGGTTTGTAAGTAAGGATAGCGCGGATAGGACTTCGGTCAGCGCCCTGCACGGACCTGACAGCTTATACACTACAGTGACAGTGCTACAGTCCAGCCACAACATGCGAATCCCCTGTGCCGTGACGGAACCCCGAGGACCGGGAGGGCGCCCGGCCGCCCCTGCGCCCACCTGGAGGGTAGTGATGTGCTTCTCGTTGAATTTGTTCTCGCAGTAACGCAGCGCCAGCGACGTCTTGCCTACGCATCCCTCTCCCAGCAGGACAACCTTGAAGGAGTATTCTTTACCGGCCCCAGTCGCCATCCTGGGACGATCCGTCTTCGGAATACGAAGCAGCAGAAAAGCAGGGAGAGGTGGGGCGGGGGGCGTGAAGCGGGGGGCGAGTCACATTAGATGGCCTGGACTAGACGCCGACAGGATGCGGAAAAAAAAAGAAAAGAACGCTACAGTGTCACATGAGACGCGGTGTCAACAGCACAGGATCGCCCTGCACCGGCAGCCGGCGTTAGGCTGCGGCATCTGCTCCACCAGCAACGTCCCCCTGCCACCAGACCCTCCGTCTAATGGCGTCTCTTTCCTCCACGTCACGATCATATGAATAGTTTTCGGCCGAAGTCCAGAGCTCGGCGCTTATTCCAAATCCATCAGCCCTTTTAAACACTTAATATATTTTAGTCTTTATGTGAATTATACTTAGGAATGTCAATATTTATACACTATTATTCTATGTATAAAACAAATGACACATTACAAAAGCTTATTCTCCTTTTGAGTAAATTAATCGAAGCTATCAAGGAATATTGTAGTTTCATCCGCGCCGCACTGATTATATCATGTAGAGAATTTACATCGGTAGCAAAAGAAATGCCAACGACTGCATTTTTGCTGCCATTTTTCAATATTTATCTATTTTGTTATAACAGTAGTTAAGGTCCAAACATAGATTGTTTTTAAATCGTAGTATATTTACTAACACTATGTGCGATTACATCTTTGGCATGCAAACCACTTCGGACGTTAAGTCGGTCACTTTCTGTGCTGCGGGTCCCACTGAGCTCCACAAGCTGCATTCATATTCCAGAGATGGTTAAAGTTACGGGTCTAGTCTAGGGTTACCAGACAATCCATGTCAGGTAGGACACTTCCAGCTACTTCGGGTCTTACAAGCTAAATAAATACATTTTATTGCAGTTTTATTTATAGCATTATAATATTGGTCAATTCCGAATATTTTTTTCCCCATTTAAAAAAGTTTTATACGTAACAGTTACACAGCGAGCGTGTTCGGGTGTTGTGTGATACATAGCGGTGGGAAGTTGGGGCGCTGCAGCACCCCCTGCTGGAAAAAAGGCGTCTCACCACCCCCTGCCAGATTAATAAATAATAATAATAATAATAATAATAATAATAATAAACTAACGTATTAAAACATTTTAAATGGTTCCCTCTTGTTTGCATACAAGAATTGAACGTTTGATTAAGTTTTTGAGAAATAACAAGCAATTGTGAATAAGTAGCCTATTCTATAACACTATGCATCATTGTCAACAAACGTAACATTACATAGCCAGATACGGTATTACGTTGTTTAAGCTAAGACTCAAGGGCACTGCCGGTGGATTTAGCCGTTAGATGCATTAATGGGGTCCTCATGCCGGACTTTGACCCCTAAGCGCCAGGCCATGTTTGGCGTAATACATTTGACCTATGTGCAGTTCCTAGTTTTTTATTATTGGATGGCCGCCGAGCAACTCTTTATTACTAAAGAGATTCATGCTGATACTTTTGCTACAAATATGAATGTATATATGTTGTTCTGTGCTGTGCAAACCGAGGGTATGGATCGGTTAAATAGCTACTGTGCATTGGATAAGTTTGTGTCCACTATGAGCAATGGGCGCTTATAGACCTGCTAGACTAGCGAACGCTATCACACTGCAAGTTCCTGTTTGCTGAGTGGTAAATTCTCATGTATAACGGAATCCGTTTGATAGTCACAACACTTGCTCTCCTTTTTTTTGCCGTCTACTGATTTTCTGTTGCATATACTGTACGTGCATGTGCCCAGTGTCACGGTCAGGCGTTTCAATGAAATACAGACACTCCTCTACTTACAAACTTTCAACTTACGAACTTTCAGACATACGAATGAAGAGGACTGTACGTCCAATTTGTGTTCGTGTTTCCTGTCCGCAACATCAATTTCTTTTTCTATGCGCCAATCCCACCTAGTACGACTTCTGGCCGCTACTGCCGCCGCGCAGCAGCGTAGCGTGCGGACTCCCAGCATCCTAGTTCTTTGTACTTGCGTAAACCCTTAAAATGATGTTGAATAACGACGTACGAACATTTCAAATTACGAACGGCCGTTCGGAATATATCTCATTCATAAGTAGAGGAGCGTCTGTATAGTAAATTTTGTGCTGATTAAATATTGTGTGTATACAGCCTATTTGTATGCGTTCTTGTCGATGTGTCGGACACCCCACTGCAGCACCCCCAACCCAAATCCTCTTCCCACAGCCCTGCCGTGATATGCTTCATAGCAATGTTATTAGATAGTATTACACCTGACTTTCAGAGAGCCACAGAAGATGCTGTCTTACAGGTTTATAATATACTTACTGCCTGGTTTACCCTTAAGCCACCAAGTGTGGTGGTAATTACTCAAAGTAATTAAGAGGTGAGACTGTAGGCTATTTCATTTGGCATCTCTGGACTGCCGAGTACAGTTGGACCTGTCACCTTTTTATTGCTAATCAGTTAATATTGATCAGTGACAAAACACAGCCTTACGCTAACAGTGAAGTAAGGGTGATTAAATAATTCGAGTTGCGTGTTTGAGCTTCTAGATTCAAATCCTACCTGACATGGTATGTTTGTTCGGCATACAAGTTAAACAGTGTGGTACAGTGGTTCAGCGCTTTGCCCCACATCTCCAAGGGTTAAGGGTTTGCTCCACCCCGTGAATGTGGAGGTTGTCTGGTTTCCCCGCTCTCTGAAAACACGCAGTTAGGCGATAACCATCTCTGAGCTCTGAGTCGGCCTCAGTGCGCCCTCTGCCCGTGACGGGTGGCATTGCAGTCGGGGTGTATTAATGCCCCGTCCTTTCTGTGACCGGCTCCAGGCATGAACTGAATAGACAGATATCTGATGCCTGGTTAATATATATATAAATCCTGTATGATGTCACTTCCCCTATGAATATGGACTAGACAGCTAAATGTTACCAAAAAAAATGCATCTCAGAAACAAATGCACTCAAATTATCCTAGAGTGTAACAATCCAGTAATAGGAGGTGATGTGAGTTATCATTTAATAGTCAAATAATATACTTTTGGTCAGGGGTTTGGGGGGAGATTAATTAGTCTGGCTTTTGTGTAAGTTATAAAAAGATGGGCTTTACAATAAGAACTCACCGTGCCTGCAGGTGAGAGCAGGTCCTCTGCAGGTCCGGCGTGAAGACACGGACTGCAAAGCAAAGATCGGCTTTGCTAAAAACAATAACATTCGTACGGGACAGGTGCAGGATTCTGTCAAGTGCAGCCTGCTAAGTACCTGCTGATAGTAAATTATAATTCTCTGTAAGTGCATTGCCTGCTGTTCTTATCAGTCAGGAGCAGTTAATTAACCTTGATTGAGCTGTGGCCTGGAATTAGATGAGGGTGCCCGCTGAAGGCAGGATTTCCGGGGTTAAAACATACTTATGGTTTATAAACACAAAATCACAGTCTATATTTGTTCCGCATAGCTAATAATAAAATATATTTTGTATGTTACCTTAATTAGTTTTCCTAGATTTAGATAAAGTATTTTGCGGCACAACATTTAGTCTTTAACTTATCCTTCATTGAGTCTAACCAATTAAATACGACTTAATATTGTTTGAGCTGTGGGACGTAATACCAATACTTGAACACGGAGATCCTCTGACAAAATAATTAAATGTAATGAATGCTGTATTGTCCCAAATGGATCTTTCTGTTGTTTTGATCTACTTACAAGGTAAATATGACACAGTGACATCTTCATTACGTTTACAGAATTACATCCGCGATGCTAATTAATTGCGCTCCGGGAAAGCATGTCTAATGTCTGATGTTAACAGGCGATCCTCAGAACACAACAACACACTTGGCGGTTTGCACATTTCTGAGTGTAAGAGTCGGAAACCACTTCATCTGCCCAAAAAAAGGAGGTGGAATGGTGAGGAGATCCGTGTGTGCTGGATTGGCCTTACCATCCATCCATCCATCTATCTGTCCGATCGTCCGTCCTAATCTTCTTTGTGGATTTTATTAATAATAACCTTCCGCCACTAGGTGGCACCTTTTGCTATTCTATCAGTAAGCTGTGAATCGGCCCGTGTCCAGTAGTGGGATTTTCATTACCCACGTGCCCGTGTATTGCTAGTTTAACCTGGCTGGTATTCCACAGCTAACAGCTGCATTGTGACACGCACAGAGGCCCACAGATGTCTGGAGCTTCTCTCTATGCAAAATTAGGTTTAATGATGCCCTTCGTAGCGCTAAGGAGGTGCTACATGGGGGGAAGTCTGTGTCATTCGTCAAAATGTACCCAGAGGGGCAAGTGCCTTCAGAATGGTGTTAGCATAGATCTACCTTGAAGTGCCTTGTCTTTATAAACCACATTCAGTTAGACACTTTGATCATGTTTTACATATTAATATAGCTAAAATGGATTGATGTCATTTGGGATTGGCTTAAGAGACGCCACATAATATGGCGGAATAGCGTTAAGGTCCACATCGCATGTCAGACAGGCCATCAGGAGTTTCCCTCCACACAGAAGTTTCTGGAATGGCGGGGGAGGACACCCACGGCGTCTTGTGTGATAGACAGCTTGGCACCATCCGCTGCTTTTCTCCCGACACCCCAGGATGGGCTGCTGACAGACAGCGTTCTCTCGAGACGCTTGCCCCCCCCCCCCCCCCCCCCCCCCCCACAATCTCCGCTGTGGGAGACGGAGACCTCCCCAGCGCGGATGGGCTGGGGGCGCCGCGCACAAAGAACAGTGGCTGGCACAGGGAGCCCCGGCAGGTGCCAGCTCGCTCCGCAGGTCGGCTCCGCGTCTGTGAATGATGATAAAAATGGGCGTGTCCATCAATTACTGAAATGTTCTCAGTGTACATACGCAAACAGCCGTACACTGAGTGTACGGACACAATTTAAGGGATAACCAGCCGTGCTTCTGTAAGAAAAGCCACACAATAGCCCGAGGCCTCCCAGGCCCCCCCAGCAGGACTGTAATCTCGGGGCTGGCCCCCCGCTTTGGCACGCCGGCGTGTGCTGACAGCCCCGAAGGCAAACAGTGGAGCCCACACACGCATGTCAGACTCCGACAGCTTCTTCTCTTTACGTGAGAGTGGGACGTTACCGCTGTGGGCTCTGGGAAGCGCCGAAGCTGGAGAAACTGCAGGGATCCAGTTCGGGGACAGACTGTGAAAGACCCAGTGTTCCCATGAGGCGCCCGGAGGAATGGGCGTGAAAGGCAGATGATTCTTCTGAAAAGGTGGAGGGGCGCCTGAATCAGTGCCGCAACCCCCTACTGGACAAGCAGGCTTATATCCTCTGTCCTGGGATGAATCTACTATAAATCTACCTGGCAAGAACAAAAACAAACACACATCGATGTGAAAAGTCATATTTCGCAATCATCTTTCTCGGAAATTTCACAGAAACTCTCTAGTCCTTCAGCATTCTGTAAAAACTGTAAAAACTATTCGTCTGGACATGTGCTGTAGTGCCTGAAATCATCCCTAGGGGGACTGATTACCTACAGCCCAAATATTCCTGTGCCATTTCAGGAGAACACAATATACAACCCCCCTCCTTGTCCCTTGCTGGGGGAAACAGTGGTCTGTGGTCCCATGAAGCAAGTGAAGGTTTCATATCCCAAAATTTTCATCAACGTTGTGGCAGAAACTGTGGTAACTCAAAGGTTGGTGTCCAGGATCAGTGAGGGGATCACTTCACTGTGCACCTCAACACACCAGCATTCCGGCCTGGGATTATGGAAACAGGAGATGTTGTGTTTCTTCCCCATGGCGTAATACCTGTCAAGGTCTTGCCTTCATGCGGGTCCCCGATGATATCCCTCACACGCTGACCCGCAATCATCCTGCGAGCGGCTCGTGTCTCCTGCCATGTGGAGCCGGTTTGACACTGGGGTCCTTGCCGACTTCCCGGAGTTTGTTGTGTCTTTAGGCGAGCCCATGCTGTGCAAACAGCACCCCGTAAACAGTCTGTGGTGGGCTTTTTCCGAGAGCAAAAACAAAGAAATGTGCCTCAGACAAGGCCTGCTTTGTTTCCATCAAGATTCGGATTCCTGGGCCCTGGCACCTTCCTCCGCGATCGATCCTTCCCTCTTCCTCCCTTTCAAAGGACGTCTCTCTCTGCTCGTCTTCCGCTGAGCTCGTTAAAGATCTGTTATGGACCTCCGCGATGACAAGCCGTAAGATAAACATGGCGCACTAAAACAAACAGGCCAACTCCGTCTCCACTGGGAACGGCTTCACCTGGCCCCTGAGACTCGTATGATGGCTGTACTTCACAGCAGGCCTGTTTATCTAATGGGAAGCCACAGCCTCAGGTATTCGGCTCGGGGAGGTTGTCAGCAGGCTTTATGTGTAGCTAGGGGCCCACTGGCATATGGGGTGGTGGATGTTTGCAGCAGACTCTGCACTGGATTCCCACTTGTGAATACCTTCCTCCCAGTTCCTCTGGAGATGTGGAGGTCTGCTATTTTAGAATACCCGCCCCCAGCCTTAAGCTGTGGCACAGCGGTTAATTCCAAGTTGGCAAAGACTGACTTGCTGCCTTTAGTGCAGTTTAGAATCCTCTGGCTCCCCGGAGTGTGCACATCTCCAAAAGAGTGCACATCTCACTTTCCAAGTTTTCCATGGTCTTTCAAGGTAGCATGGTCTGAAAATGCACATGCTCAGTGCCTCTCGTGTCAATCAGAGAATCCACACAGATGACAAATATCTGAGATCTTCACCAGATTCGTCATTAAACGGCCAATGAAACTTCTCCAGATGCCCGGATGTTTCCCCATCTGTCTGTTCACCTCTTTAGTCAACTTGGTGGCTTTAAATGTGCTGTAGAAATTAACGTTGACCTTGACCTTGACTTGTCCTCCTATATATGGCTGTGGACTCCAGGTAGATATACCTGCGAGACCTGAGACAGCATTTCTTCATGCGTGGAGACATCAGCAGTAGATTCCTCCCACCGCTAGATATACTGCTTATCATTAAAGTCGATATTCCCTCTGATGACACCTAGAGCCAGACAGATCCATCCCTTACAATGTCTTTAGGGATCCCTGTGTCATTGGGATGTTCTACAGCGCCCTTCTGAAGGTTTCCTCGTGGGGAGAGATTTTGGTCCTCAGAGCTCCGGCTCGGTCATGTCTACCACCTCAGAAAGTAGGTTTCTTCGCTTGAGGTTTTGAGAGTCCAGAAGAGGGAGAATTGTGACCCAAGAGCCCCTGCTTGGGTTTGCTGTCATCTCCGCCCAGATGCAGAGTGGCTTTCAGGCTGAATGAGGGTCCCAGGCCCGGGGGTGGGGGGGGGGGCTTCCCATCTGCCTACCAGATGCCCGAGGGGAGAAGATGACTTTGTACAGTGATGTGCCATTGTTTAGACAACCTACCATTGTTCAGCGCTGATCCCAATCACTCAGTTTAGGGAGGATGGGACAGTCTGGTCCAGGAACAGCATGATCCTCAGTCCTGAGGAGCCGTCGGCCTGAGAGAAGTAGCTTGTGTAGCTTAAGTGTTTGATTCCTACAAAGGAGTAAATCTTCACACGTTAGTAGCACCACAGCGTATCACGGGATTGTACAGAAAGGAGGCTAGGTGTTTAAAATCACGGGATTATACAGAAAGGAGGCTAGGTGTTTAAAATCACGGGATTATACAGAAAGGAGGCTAGGTGTTTAAAATCACGGGATTATACAGAAAGGAGGCTAGGTGTTTAAAATCACGGGATTGTACAGAAAGGAGGCT